TTTTTTTTGCACTTAACAAGTTAGATCGAAATCGTTATAGTATATGACAATGCACTGACAAAATCTTTGAATCAAATAACCCATTAATCAAAAAGTGAGATACGACATTTTAGCAAGTTTATTTATAACTATGGCCAACAGCACATTTCATTAACGAGATAGTGAGATATAAGATCTCGAAGCAGCACCAAATCAACCAAAATTATTCTGTATTGTACTACGGCTTTCCGACATATCTCACACAAAATTCCCCAGTTAGAGGAATTCAAACATTTGCAAACAAAGGCTACTGAATAGCACATAGCCAAGCCGTGACCTCTACTACGATCAACATTGTTTAAAACACTCACCCTGACTTTTTCAGCATTTTCAAACTCGTTTAGGGCTTCTTCATAATGTTTGTGCTTGTGATGCACAACGCCTGAAATGATCTTATGATAAAAAGAATGTGGTTGAAAGATACAATCAAATCAATCCAAACACGATCTTGCCTAGAAGGTGTACAGTGTAAGCATCTTCCTTGTCGAATTTGGCAGCCATCTCCAAATGTTTCACCATTTCTGTGTAATGGTCAGCCTTCTTGTCAAGGTCTTCAAGTCTGTGCAGCACGATAGCGTACCTGGGTACATGCAAATCTTACGAGAAAACATCTACTAGTTTCAACAGCAGCGTGCAAACCACTTATGAGAGAAAAACAGATGTAGAAATTACTTGAACACTATATCAAATTTTGAATAAATTACCATTTGTGAGCTCCAGCGCAGTTGCTATCTCCAGCAAGAGTAATTGCTTGTTTTGCCATATCGTGGGCCTGCAAAGAGCAAAGTTGAATGAGAGACTAAGAAAGATGTAAACCACACCGAATCAATTATTGCAAAAGCTTGAAGTTTGGGCTACACCCAAAAAAGCTAACCTCATGCAAAAGGCGCATCTTCTCATTTAGATCCCTCGACCAAAAAGCTTTTTCCACGAGTGCTCGAGCAAGCCGCCATTGTACCTCAGCATTTTTCAAATCTTCGTATCTGTAAAGCAAAACAAAAATCAAAAAGTTCAAGCATAAGCCTGTTAAGTTACAAGACTTGCACAAAGTTCCCCACAGATATTAGCTACTATAAGTTATGGAAACTAAGAAAAGAGGGTTTACTTTTTGAGCGTTTCGTAGGCTTGTTCAACAGTTGACTGAGATGTGTTGAAACCGTGGCGTCCCAAACTTTCCAGAGAATGTTCCAGTGCTATCACATCTTTTCGATACCTAGGTTGAAAAACATAAAACAATATTGGTTCCAATTTATCATGTTTCGTTTTCTTTTTGAGCGAAGACCTATAGCCTACATAAGGATTTAGAGCTGCAACAGTAACTTGGATAGATACTTGGACGTCTTGTAAATGAAGACGTGTCAAAGCTTAATATAAAGTGGAGTATGCTTGAGTACTTCTCGCGCTATGGCTAACTTGAGATAGTATCCATTCAATACATCATTGCATGGTAATTGAACTCGGTTGTTTGATTAATTTTCTCCAAGTTTTCTTCTAATCTTTCAGCTTCCTCCACTACCAAATGGCTAAAAGTATCAAAAGATTTTCAATTTCACTCAAACGCTTTCCCAAGCAAAAAGTCAAGCTCTCTTAAAGATATCTTGAACGAATAATCGTAATAAATAGGTAAATGACAGACAATTAGGAAGTACAGCCTACCACTCTGGCTTTTTGGCCAGCTCCTTGTCACTAAGTGCGGTAGCAGCGGCACACAGCTGCACGCCGGCAGAAACAGCAACGGCTCGGCTAAGAATGCGCCGGAACATCTTGGGACCACTAAAAACAAAGGACTTTCAAAGTATAAGGAAGTCTGAGGAAACAAAACGAAAAGAATGCGTCGTTTCTACGGGTAAAATGTTAAAAATCAATCACAAGCTGTCCAATAAATTGCTCGACAGAAAGTTATGAGAGCAAACAATCTCAAAAGATCGATTAGCTTTACATCAAGCCTCAAGATCCTTACCAACCCTCTCAAATCAACTTTAGTCGATAATTGCAACGAAGAAACAACTATACAGCCTTGTATTCAAAAAGGGGACTAAGCTCGTTACATCGCTGCCTTACGTCTGAAAAACGATTTCGCCTTTTAATTTAGTAATGCCGCAACTACGGGTCTCTATAGTACCGTATCCCGTAACATCTTAAAAGATTTAAAGTCTTCAATTTCAAATTTCATTCTATCATTTATATCTTTCACTAGAACTTTAGAGTTACTACCTTCTTTAGTAGCAAAATGGAAGTTATAGCGCTATTCTTAGCATGAATATAAAAGGATATAGTAAAAAGAGGTACGAAAAAGCGTCAGTTCAGGAACGATTCTGTTTAGAATGCCTCACCAGTTATTATTAAGACTATCGAATTTGTCTACAGTTTGAATTGATTATGAAAGTCTTCCAGTTGATTATGGTGTTTCCTGCACACCATTGTCATAAATACGTATTGTAAGGTACCTTTTGGGTCTTTTCCTGCTTTTATTTGCTGGAACATCTTGACGTTGTGAAAAATTAATCCTAATCAAATAAATAACATCGTGCTCGATTTCAGTTAAATGGTCACAAGTGGGAGTGGATTT